TTATTATTACTATTATTATTATTATTATAGTACACGGTGTAAATATCTTTTTTGCTTAAAAATTTTACCCCTTTTTTGTGGAATTGGATGTCAATTATACAATCGTAAAATCACATGATACCCTTCCAACGTCGCCCTGTATTTGGAAGAAAGTGATCAGATCACTGTGATGGAGGGACGCAGGGGTGTGCGTTTGGGAGAAACAAATTCGGTAAGTTCCGTTCTCTACAGAATTGTCATTAAAGAGATCACTGAAGAGAAACTCTTCTGTAATTTTGATATACTTTACTATCGGTGCGCATATTTATATAAATAATACGACTTTTTCGAAGTAAAGTGTTATGTTAAGTAATGTCTATATGCTTGTCAAACTACAATTTCCTCATTACATATTTGCGCGTAAGTTAAAATAAACGTAAATACATAATAAACGTAAATCTAATTATGGTGGGAGTAAAAAAGATTTGTAACGACACAACAACTTCGGAAAATGTTCCATAATGTGCAGAAAACTTTTATAACATGTAAGTACAGAAACCATCACACATTGTGACATAAAGTGTATTGTGTCGCCGAGACGTTGGACGGATAATAACTACAAGTTTATTATAATCATTATTTTAAAGGCATATGAAAAAGACCATCCCGTGAAGAAATTTCACTCGGGGGCAGATTATGATAAGTTGTTTCAGCCAGAAGTGTACCTCAATAGCCTCTATCGTGACGTCATCGAGGGAGGGAAGACAGCCACGGACATTACCGAAATTATAGACTACTTACACAAAATCTACAGTACAGGTACCAGTAACTTAACACTTCTCGTAAAAATAAGCATTAGATAAACTGTGGAAAGGGCAATCATTAAATTCACTAAAAACGTGTGAAGGGCCCTGTATAATATTGTTCCCCCCTTTTTTTTTTAATCTTGACCTGGAGTTAAATGTAAAGCGAGCGTGGATTTACAGTTATGTACATAAAGCACTTCTACTTATTTCTCTTACAACCAAAATAAAGTCAACATACCAAGAGGTTAGCCAAATTAACCTGTCGTTCCGACCCCCCCCCTCCTCCGAAAAAATTCCTTTATAACTGTTCCTATCTGAAATTTTGGGCGTATTGTCCAGTGAGAAAGGGTGACTTGCTCACACTCACTCAAACTCGCGTAAATTAGATTTTTTTTTTTTTACAATTTCAGGAAACATCAAGGGGCAGAGACTCTTGGACGTTGGCACTGGACCTTCTCTTGTCAACCTGATTAGTGCTTCTAGATGTTTTGAAGAAATTTATCTCTCAGATTTCTCCACCGCTAACAGGGATGCTCTGGAAAAATGGTGGAAAAAAGAGGAGAGTGAAGCTTGGAGCTGGGAATATTTCTTTCGTTATGTGGCAAAGTTAGAGGGAAACGAGTATGTAGATCTTTTTCGACTCGCAAAACCATATGCATGAAGTTACCTTGCAGAGAAGTGTAAAGGATTTGTTTTGTTATTTGGTTCTTTAGGGGACAGCAGAATGAACTTCTTGGGTGGACCCCTTTAAACATGTTTGAACGTCACGTGTGTCTGTGCAAATATGTCAACGTCATTAAATAGCTTCGTTAAGTGGTTATGAGAGAAAAACTTCACATAGAAAATTAAGGACAGGTGACTTAACTTTTCTTTTCTCTTGTATTAGCAGGTGTGTCGAAAAGTAAAATTTGGGATTCGCCAGTAGGCATGTCAAAGCATTCCATGGCATTTCATGATTTACCAATTTTCATTACCCCATGAATGTGTATATGTGTGTGTGCGTGTGTGTTGATTTCTGTTTAAAACTAGTACCCAAGGAAAAGTTTGAAGAAGGAAAAGGTATAAGATTAGATTGGAAAACCAATTTTAAAACAACCAAACTACGATGTACTTACCTCGCTTTTGTAGTAGAACGATACACTGTTTTATTTTGTTCACATCTCTTTGTTATGTGTCTGCATTTAAAAGTAAAGAAATAAGGCTTTGGTTTGCATTGCTTCAGAGACGGGTGGGATTCACTACAAGATGAATTCCGAAGAAAATTAAAAGACATCTATTTCTGCGACGTGAACAACCGAAACCCATTGAGCCCTTTGGAAACGGATCCCTTTGATACCATAACGAGCGGCTTCTGCCTGGAGTATGCGTGTTTGAGTGAGAGTACATATCGACAGGCAATGAAAAATGTGACGTCATTACTGAAGTCAGGCGGTTATTTCATAATGCATGGAGGCATCAATGAATCTTTCTATCAAGTGGGGACAGAGAGGTGGGGTGGTCTGGCCATGCAAGAGAACCAATTTAGAGAAGCGATGACAGAAGCAGGATTAGAAATCAGGTCCTGGTACCAGATCAAGCGTCCAGATGATTATCCAGATTCCGAGTCCGATTACGAAGGCTGCTTCATTGTCGTTGCGGTAAAAAAGCCCTTAGCAAAATGAAAAGCTTGCAGCAATATTGCATCATTATTGCTGCAAACTAAAAGTTTGTCGCAACGAGTTTGCAAGAAAAAAATTATTGCTGCTAATTTACAGCCATATTGCAGCAAGTTTGCTGTAAACTTGCAAGAAGGAATTGTAGTTCGCAGCAATATTGCAGCATACTTGCTGCAAATTCGCTGCACATTTGCAGCAGACCTGATATTTTGCTAAGGGAGGGCGAATATTAACAGAGATGCACCTTCGGAACGACTTCACCGACTTGTCATTCACACTAGAACGTATGTGAAAACTTTAGAATTAAAACTTTTCTATCTTGCGTAAGCAGAACAGACGAAAATCATATTATCATTGAACTGAAAGGCCAATTCTACTACATTAATGTAAAATATTGCCAGTAGGCCTCGGTTATCTGAGGTGCCAGGAGAATTCGATGTTTTACACTTTACAATTTTGAATCTTCGTTAAGCATAAAAATATTTTTCAATTAATGCGTGAATAATGCAAATGTCATCTCTTTTATGAAAATATACATGTACAGTCATGAAGAAATAATGTAACTTTTGCATGGGAAACTTATTCAGGACCTTTGGGAGACAAAAACAACAGGGGGACTAAGAGCTTGACACATGGATCCAAGGATGTCAGGTATCCAAATTATGTGTGCTCCTCCAAGATGCTGCCATTTTCCATTACAATGAATCTGTATATCTTTACCTCATGATCAATTTATCACAAACAGGGTCGATGTTTTTTCGCTCAAATTGATAAAAAAGCATCACAGATATATCATTACACGGGCAGTGTTAGAGAACAACTACCAACCAAGAAAGATAAGATAAAATAAGCTTTGAAGCACAGGTAGAACATCAAGTTGAAATAGACGCACCTTCAAGATGTAGGAAATAAAGAATTAAAAGAAATGAGAAAATGGGAATTTTGCTCTTAAACGAAAATAAGAATAATTTTAAAACAAAGATGACCTCCCAACTCCCCTAAAGCCACCCTGTCTACCAGACGTTTTCATTGACCTATATGTGGTAATAACGCTGAGTAACTCATGTTCAAGTATTGTGACGTCATACACCGCTCGTTGTCTTGTCACAAATTCCGAAAGCTTTGCTGAATGCTAGGTGGCAATGAGAGTGAGGGTAATTCATGCAACAATTTAGTATTTAGAAAAAATAAGCAAATAAAAGCGGAGTCTCTCCCGTGTGCGCCAGCCTTTCATACCTGTGGGTGTGACGTCACGACTGACCACCCTACTGTCCACTTGGACAGGTCACTGGTGGACTGGGCCAGGAGTGACCCGGTGTACCACCCCCACTGTGAGTAGGTCAGCCGTATTGAGCGTGAAGGCCAAATTGGTGAGTAGGCCTCAGATTGCAGGCGAGGGAATACTCTTCATGGAGGGACCCATTGGTGTACGTTTGGAATATATAAATTCAGTACGTTCTGT